GGGGGGGGGGGGGGGGTAGAAAAAAGGAGACTAAGAGAAAAAGGGTATGGGGGTTAATTCTTTTGTGAATTTTTATTTGATCTTTTTTTTCAATTAAATAATTAATCATTACGCTGGAATAACATTACGGGTGATACTTCATTGCGTTGCGGTTATCGATAATACTTGTATAGGTAATTGCTACGTTTCAAATAAAATCTTTGGTTGTGACAATTTTTGGGCGATTTTTTTTTGGTTTGGTTTTCTGATTTACGTTATCCTTTATGGTCCTTTTGTTTATAGCGAAATAGCATTGCTGTTAAGATCGATATTTCGGGAGGCCATTTTTGTTCCCTGCTGTACGTTACTTATAGCCAGTTGTCTTTGAGTGTCACTCTGTAGTGCTCAGTATGCACGTTATATGGTACAGGGGTGGTTTCGCTATTAAAGGATGTTGGCTGGTAATCGCGCGTGCCGTTTGCCATGCTACTGAATTGCCCAAGGTGCATAATACTCTATACTTGTCGGAGGTTATTCGGAGCCACAAAGGAACCCCGTTGGATAATATATGTCTAATATATGCGGTGGGCGCGAGAAGTCGTACTGATTTATAAGTTTCCGTTAAACCCCAATGTCCAGCGTGAAAATCAATATTAAATACAGATTGGACTCCGCGCTTCCTCTGTTTATTGTTTCGCGAACGAATACGTCGTGTATGATTGTTATTATTTTATGCGTATTTCATACGGTTGGATTTTATGCCTACGGATCAGTTTATGTTCTGAATCCGGCTAGGAACAGACTGTTGATACGGAATAGCCGGGCGACGGTGTACTAGGGGGGATGCTTAAAGGTTCGTTCAGGCGCGGTGCGCACGTACGATGTGTGACGACTTAAGCATCCGAGTGATCGCGAGTTGGAAACTTAGATTGGCGTTACGAGGTGGGGGGGAGGGAGGGAGGGATAGACGGTTGGGTAGGCAAAGGGATGGATATTAGATAAGGAGAGTGAGAGAGGCTTGATAAGGACGTAGGAAAAGCAAGGTAGTTTCAGAAATACGAAGAGAGAGAGAGAGAGAGAGTGAGTGAGGGTAAAGAGAGCTTTTAGGGGTGGTTAGGAGGGTTAAGGGAACTGTTGTATAACGACGGCGTCGGCGACGTCGGTTTAGGGAGGAAATCCGACGTAAGACCCCGCGCGAAATCTCTATTTCCTGCAACCCCATTTACCCCACCCCTCCCTCCTCCCTCCCTCTCACCGTCTTCCACTAGCTGTCCGCTAAGCCCGTCGACATCCACAGTGTTCCATGTAAATCTTCATGGATTAATTTTATAATTGGCTGCTTTGTAATTGAGCGGCACTACATCCCTTTCTCATCGTGTCGTCGCACCGACGGAATATCTAACCCCCCCCCCCCC